GAGCAGTTCAGTTTTATTTTCTATGGTAGGCTACATCACACTGTCTCTGTGGTTGCCGAAAATTGCTGATAAAAGATCATGAGAATTTGTTGGCCGCGCTTCATTTTGACTATATAGGCCTAATATGGTGATGTGATGATGTTGAATTTTACTATATGAAAGTGTCATTTCCGGCCATCTATAGGTACTATTTCCACGAAATGTACCCTCGCCTTTCAAAACAGATCATCTGCACTCCTGCACGCACTCCCACCGCCAAATTCTGCATCTGCCCCAGATCGGTTGACTCCCATAAACGACAGAGGATCTGTGCATAAACTATGGAGGAATATATTTCCTCCAAATGACTTTTGGTATCAATTGATGTAATGATCAGTATTTCATTGTTCCATAACAATCCAGCCGTGGCGTAATTATTTATTAAAGCCATATATGGGCCGTGTAATTTTATTATAACCCTGTTTTGTTATAAAATAAAATAAATGATCTCTATCTATGTGAAAAGGAAAATATAAATTTTTAGAAATAAAAATAGTAGTAGGCCAATTCAATATTATTTTTTGTATATTTTTGTATATTATTTATTTCTTGTAGGCTATTAATTACTGTATAATGCAATAACTTCAGACTTGTTCTGCTTTTTATAACCGCCAAAAATACTTTGATTACTCTTCCATTCATTTTGTATTTTATAATGTATCAGTTTGTTTATTTGCATTAATAATGCGCTTTAACATAATATAAAAACATTCACATTAAAAAAAAAACAAAAAAAAAACGATAAAATTTCTATGATGAAAGAAATGTCAATTTATTTGTAGGCCTACATACAGAGTAGAAAGATTGTCGCTGATGCGATGCATCATTAATGCGATCATTTTAATCACTCATATTTAAAATTTCTTTAGTTTAGGCCTATTTGGAGATTTTGTTTATTTTGTATTAAAAAACACAAATTTAAATGTCTCCTCATGCTAGTTATAATATTCCAAGTAGGAATACAGTTTAATTATATAATTAGTTTTCATTATTTGAGCGAGTATTAGTAGAGTTCCTATAAGGACAGACCAGGACTTCCTCAAATTTCGGAGTATCAGATTGTTGACGCCTGATCACGCTTGTTGACGCAAAATAGTGTGCCCAAGGTAAATTTATTTGTACATAAAACAGAGATATCGATATCGACACAAAAAAAAAACAGGATTTGCGCCCTCTAGAACTTCCAAAAGAAATTTAACTTTTTCTCTTCAAGAGAGAAAGTACAGTATAGGCCTATAGCAGGACACGCGTGAATATATGCCAGGTTTAATGTTAAAAAAATCACACAACATATCAACTAAAAAATCATAAATTAATAGTTTAGTAAACTCTTTAAACCCCTAAAATCAATGAAAACTACATTCCTTAAGGCTCAATAAGTTATAAACGCATCGACATAATGGTGCGGCAATATAGTTCACAACAATTGTACCATTACAGTAGGCCTATACAATAATACCTATGAGCAGTACTTAAAAGCTAGATGTGTTCATTGCTTCTAACCTATAATGTGTAAACATGTAGGAATTAGTTTAAATAGGCACTACACTACAGATTAAATTAAGTACTTCTTAAAGTAATACAGTATTATAGGATCTTCTTTAGTTTTGTGTAAACATGTGTAAGTGATTAATACAATTTTTAAATATATTGATGAGATGGGCATGCAACGAACAAACTTGTGAAGATCTTTAATAACTTATACATAATGTTTAAACTCTGCTGATTCGATCAAGAGTCTCTCGACACAAATCCATTGTCTCGGGAATTCTCACAAATGTTTAGAAAAGAACACCTAAGTTAATTACCAATAAGGCTACTGTAATTCGTGGGTTTTTTGTGTACAATAATTTAACATTTTTGATTGTATCAATATTTTTCTTTTGTGCACCAACTTTACTAACGATATCGGCGTGCACATGTTTTCCGAGTGTCGACAACCCGAAAGATCAGAATGCTTGCATGAAAAACAACTCCACACGCCCCTCCCCCCAGTCTCCCGAATTGAGAGTTCCAGGTGTTGAAACGATAGGAGACAATCGATTTCAATCGATCTATCATTCTTCAACATGAAAGTGTTCAGTGGTGCTGTCACATGCAAATACTGTAATAATAATAATAATGATGATGATGATGATGACGACGATGATGACGATGATGATGATAATAATAATAATAATAATAATAATAATAATAATAATAATAATAATAATGTTTTTTATTGCAAAAGGCCTTAAATTTTTTCTTTAAATCATTCGTATTAATCTCCATATCAATTGGTAGTTTATTCCGTCATGCAGGGCAGCACAGGAGAAAGAACAAAATGTTCTCGGTGATTCTAGTTGGTGTTATCACATCACATGCTGTCTTTATGATCAAATGATGTCTTTAGCACAAATTCTCTAATACCAGTTATCTTTGCCATGCTTGCATGTAATTCGTCTTCTATTCGGGCTAATCTTAAATTACCTCCAAAAAATTAGGTCTATCTTTTAATAATTCAGTAGATTTTCGGACATGTGAAAAAACTCATTTTTTCCATACTGATTATTATTCTTGATGATTGATACTCACCGAATTTTGCTATAGATTGCATAGATTACCGGTATTAAAAATGATGAATGTATCCTGTCTAACGTTTTCTTTTCGTAGAAGAGTTGAAGCTATAGTTTATTTCTCTATAAAGAAATTGAGAAGCGGGGGTGGAACCGTCTAAAAAATTGTTCCACAATTATCTCTTTTTTAACCCATGACTTATATGCAGGCATCGACCCCAGGCCAGATTCTTATTCGTCCAGCAAAATAATTGTTATTTTTGTGGCAGTTCAGGCAACTTATTATAAATCATGTATTTCTTATCTTTAGTAGTCTGTAGTATGTAACAAAACATTGAAGCGAAATATAAAGAAAATAATACCGAGCTAATAATACTATACAGTGTAGGCATATTTATTAGTGTTACTGTACATTTGCCGTCTTCTTCTGCAAACATGGCTGTTAAGTTGAAACATTATTACACAGATAACTTAAACAAAACGATTTTTTCTGATCAAAAATAACTAATTAAAAAAATTTCACCAAAAAGAATAATATGGAGTAAACAAAGTACATCATTCACACACATGTTATGAAGTTGAAATGATTTGATAATACGACACAAATTGTTCATCAAAAGAGTTTGCTTGAAAAGGGTGTGGCCAACAATATAAACCCCCTTGATTTCCGAGCCTGGAAGCCATTGATAATAAGCATCACAAAATTAAACTGATATATTGCATTGCATCAAATTCTTCAGGGAGCAGTGGAAGGCCATCGTGGATGGGGATGTCCCTCAATACCTTGGATTGATGATATAAAGAAAGTTACATCACGCAGAATGTATGATACACCTAATAATTTTATTTTTTAAAATTATTATTCTTATTGATACTTTTCTTTTGATATTTATGGTTATTGGTCTTTTTATTTTTTTTTTATATCATAATGTGCATTGTTACTTGTACGTAATTCTAATTCTGTATCAGGGGGGCTATAGCTTAAAGGTGTTGTGCATTGCACTGCTAATTTATTTAGCCTCCCCCAACTCAAATCTCGGCGATGCTGTTTTCTACTTTGCTCTATTGTAATTGTGTTTTTGTATGAGGTGGAAATAAAGATTCTGACCTGTCAAGTCTCACGCGTCTCGCGGGAGTCTCACGTATTTAACT